GAATTCGAGAGACATGTTCTTGAATGGGAGTTCACTGCGAAGACAGAGGAAATTCGTAGTTAGTAACCAGGGAAGAGCACTGTTTCCGTTTTGGACCCAGAGCGCGAATCAACCGAGAGTTGGCCAGCACCCGGGACCAATGGTGTCTCCATATAGAACCGGGAAAATACGGATTGAAGAAGACAGATGGGGATGTTGGGGAGCCGGATATCAAGGTTTACTGAGTCTAAGTCACAGTAAACCTGAGCATACATATCCGGACAGAACTACAAAGACATCCAGCAACAGCGGTTTGCCTTTTACAATAGATAACATCCTGGTTCCTGATCGTAATACACCGACTTCTGCGAGATCAAATTGGACCGGGCAAAAATGGCTTTCGCCAAGTTTTGGTTGGGAGGAACAGCACAAGGGGACGATTTCTCATCAGGCCAGTTTGGGCTGTCCCTATTGCCCATCAGGGACAGAATACAATCGCAAATTTTGGGCACCGACATGTCAATGCTGGGACTGTGCAAAATTGGAGGCAGGCCATGCGAAGCCGTGAACACGAACGCTGGCGATTGCCGGAAAATCCGCCAAGCTCTTTGACTGACTGTAAAAAAGTTAAAGATAGTGGACAGTACAAGATAATAAAACGTATAACAGTAATAAAGTTTTTTTAGAGAATTTGTTTAACATGCAATATTACTGTCTTTGTAATCACAGAATTTTATAAATCTTCAGCGAGCTATTCTTGTATTGAGTGTCACACCCCTCTAATCATAAATCAAGCCTTCGACATACCAATGACTTGCTATAGACAGGCAAATTAAACATTTTCTTGATCAGATACCACGAAGTTAAGAGTTTATACACTTTGCTTAAAAGATAGGGGATCTTTTAACATACAAACTAGAGGGGAATTTTCCCACCAGGCCTTTAAATCTCCCCACTAGTTGGCCCATGATTTCCCACTAGCAAGTGCCCTTTTGTTGAAAATTGTTTTGAAAACCAATTAGACGCGTCTCCAATAACTGCTTTTTATGTCGTTGTCGTTGTTGTATGTCGCTTTTTGCTGCATTGGAATAAGGACTGATCTGTAAGACCTTGAAAACTTACATATTATGCGCACCTTAAATACTATGTAGACCTTTGCTTTTGTTTTTGCAGTCAGTTGCGTCAAGTTAAAAAATGCCCTTTTGTGTCAGCTCCCCGCCAGTGAAAGTTACTTAAAAGTTTCCCTGTTAAAAGAACAAACTTTATAAGGTCCTCGAGGCTCGATTTGCTAACAAATAAGAGCAACGTAAGAACTCGCTATAGAACAAAGAAATAGGTTATTTAACTTTCTCTCGTGTCAACGGAAGAGAGCAGATTTTGGTCAGTGAACCAGCCGTGCACTAAATTTGATGCACCGCTGTAATTATCTAGTTGTCTTAGAAACAAATTATAATAACTAAAAGTAGAGGTTATCTGGTACTAGTTAAAGAAGATTGTATCCAACACGCTCTCTCGACAGGTTTAGATCTTTAATGATTGTTGCTCAAATTAAAAGTGACTGGAAATTGGATTCACATATGGTAGGATGACGCCAACAACTGTCCGACGAAAATACAGAAATTACAAAATGTCATGATACGCAGGAGAGAATTTCGCGAGGCTAACATAATCTTGTATATCGCATTATTGAAATCTGTAGTTTAGAATTTCTTCTTTCGCAGAAAAAACCCACCAGTGGTGGCGCCAGAGGGGGGGCAGGGGGGGCTACAGCCCCCCCGTCGGAGGAGGCTAGCCCCTCCGTCGGAAGATAAATTATGCTTGAATTTTTTTTGTCGGAGCGAATTTTTTAAGTTTTGGCGGAAATTAGAAAAAAGACAGATTTAAGGCTAAGTTCCCGAAGAGTAGAATTGCTCTGTGAAACAATTTTGATTCTTGGACTTGAATTTTCGATATGTAGAAGTGCGTATTCCACCGCTTAGGTCTGTTCCTATAAAGTTACGTTGTGTTCCAGTTTTCCTTAAGTTCAGTTGGTTGCTTTTTATTTAAATTCATACTTTCCAAAGATAGGCCCTACTTGAATTGGCAACGTTTGATGAGTTGTAAAGATTTAGAGTAGTTTTAAGCTTATCTAGAGGCAGCTTTCAAAAAAATTTCCAGGGACGCCGGAGAAGGGGGGCGCGGGGGGGCAAGCGCCCCTCCTGCCCTTTGCTAGGAGGGGCAAGGGAGGGGGCAAACGTGCCCTTAGTAATATGTCAAAAAACGTAGTAAAAAACACGATTACACCATTTTGATAGCATTTTTAGCCAATCTAATGGGTGTAGCCACCAAAATTTTCCCGGGGGAGTACCCCCGGACCCCCGAATTTTCGGCTCGCAACGCTCGCCTTCGGTCTCCAGTACCCTTACAATTCCTTGTCGCCCCCTAGCCCTATCGTTCTCTAAAAAAATTAGCCCCTCCGTCGGAAGTGCTAGCCCCTTTGTCGGAGGAAACCTAGCGCCACCACTGAAACCCACATGGAAAGGTCTAAACGCAAAAGCTGCTTTAAAAAAAACCCGAGCCACGGGTTTTATTTGGGAGGGGAGGGGGTGGGTTGGTTGATAGAGCCCTGCCAATCAGGCACGTAAATATCGGTGTGTGTGTGTGTTTTTTTAGGGGGGGGGGGGTTAGCACATCCCCAATCTTTAAAAATCTTTGAATTAGTTGGAAATTTTTCAACTCCGAAAGGAAATGATTGAACTGGATAAGGTTAGGGTTCTGTACGGAAAGCCTTATTATAATTTTAGTACGAAGTACACACTGTTTCCGACGGACAAAATTTCGGCCTACCTGCCTTCAAGGACAAGATATAAAAAAAACCTTAACCAATACAAGATTGAGTAATGTTCCATTTAAGCGACTCAAATCGGGGAGCATTTACGAATGTATTTACGACATAAGCGGCGCGCAATACTCTCGAAACATAACAAAATTACGCCTCGAGGTTGTAAAACGTAGAATTTGCTGGGACAAATTACAAGCCAGACGGAGAGACGTAATTTTTAACTTGCTTGAAAAATTTTCTAACTAGTCGCCTGATGATAGCATAAATTCACACTCTTTGTTACTGCGGGTACCACATTCATGCGATTATCCATGAAAGCCATAACAAGGAAATAATGTGACATGCTTGGCTAGAGGAACCACCAGAGGATAACAATTGTCAATACAAGTAGTATCACTAGAGTCAAATTTCTGATTCATTAACTGTCATGGGACCAAAAAAATGGACCTTCTGTTCGGCCATTGGAACATCAATACAAAAACACTACTCTCAAGGGATCGTGGATGTTGATAAGCCCTCTTTACCCAACACTTCGTAACTTGGGGGCAAACAGGCGCATGCGCAAGCACTTATTCGTATGCGTTGAGGAAAAACACGAGGAGATGGCGGATTTTCTGCAAAAATGGCTTCTTTTCCGAACGTAAAGGTTTACTACACAGGCGCCATGCAGCCAATGGGCTAGCAGGAGCTATAGCTCCCCCCCCCCTACTTTTTGTAATAATAGGCTAGAAAATTTTTGCAAGGTTTTCTCTAACGCATCTTTGCATAGTTTATTCCTATGTAGTAGCAGTTCTTCTTGAATGGGAGCCTTTGTTGTTCATTTTCTAGGTGTTTTATCTTGTTTCATGATATGATGTATTTTCTAGCTCGGTTAGCTTGGTGTTTTATTACCTTCTTTATAGTTATTAATATTTTCTCTGAACCAGATTGTTTATAAGAATTCAGTAGAAATATAAGTATTTTCTAAAAGAGGCGTTTTCTTGGCGTTCTACAGGGCGTGGCCACAATTTTTTTGGCACACCCATTTCAGCCCCTCCACTCTTAGAATGGTGCACGCCCCCTGGTACTAAAGGCATTATGAATTGGCTGAGATATGGCCACATGAGCACAGGCTCTTGCCCAATCAAACCTCTGTAATTTGGTCTTTATCAACCAGGCTAGAATAACAGTAACCTGTTAGCAAACTTGAAATCTTTCATTGGCCACCTCTCCCCCATTTTTTATTATATCTAACCGATTTTGCACATCGAGAGGCATTTTATGCAATTCTTTCAGATTATGTGGTCAACCTTATGAAATTATGAAAAAAGATTTTTGACACTCTGAAATTCTAAAAAAATACCTCGCTTTGATACTCTATACCAAAGTTTCCCATGGCTCTAGACAGGATGTTGGTAGGGTCGCATTATCTCCCCTTTTGACTTAAGTTCCCCCTCCTTGTAACTGGGTATACCTTGTAGATTGCCTTCAATATTGGACAGATCTTTGTCATAAAATACACTTTATCTCTGGACCTATTTATTGATAAGATGGGTCTTCCTGAAAATGGACTTAAGATATCTGGTAGAGTGGCCGATGTAGGAAGTCTGAAACTACACTTATCACCACAACAGGAAGGAAAGCATAAATTTGTTTTTTGGTACAGAAAATTTGGCCAGTGTCCTTTACGCCAGTGGTAGAAAGTTTATTTTTTGAGAGGTATCGCCAGAACAGTGAAACTTGAAATTTTCCTGTTGGTCAACCTACTCTTTTATTTTTATTTAATATATATAAAGATGCTGCTGCCATTTCTTGATATCAAATTACTTTGCCCAAAATGTCCCTGCTGACATCCTAAGGGATTTTCATTCAATACTATGTTCTCCAGTCTGGTTGGGCATTCAGCATGATAAACAATGTCATATCACTTACCAGGGCCACTGGGTGAATTTGGAGGCCCTGGGGCAAAACCAAAAGATGTGGCCCCATGCAAGCTGATGGAGCAGAAAATTTTTATAACCGCACCCTGCTTGAAATGCATTTCAGAATTACTCTTCAATACATTTTTGCAATCTTGCAATCATTTAAAACTTCTTATTATTTGTAGGTATGCTTCCCTATGTTTGATTAATTCCATTCTTAAAATTGAATTGATTACTTGATGAGGCCCTCAAGTCCTTGCCCCCCCCCCTTGACCCCTCTCGGCGGCACGGTCACTTACCCTTCCGGCTTAAACACTTATCATCTGTGCATGTTCTCTTGTACCCAGCATCTTGTGAAATCGTTCTAGACCCACATGTTGGGCAAAATAGATATCTTTGATTCCAGTCTATTAATGATCGGCTTTGAGACACTAAACTTGCATCCTCCTTTTTGAGTTTCATTATGTCGAGCCTCGACTTTAATATTTTAATTTCGATTCCACTGCCGCATGAGACGGAGTTCGCTATCTCCTTTAGGCCATAGTCAGTCAGGTTTATTGCAAAATAATAATGTTTCAAACCATCTTCCAGTCTTTCCCCGAGAAATATGGCATTTCCATCTTGATAAATTCTTTCTATGGACATCTTGTCATCAGACTTGTCAATTATCCCATCGTTGCTTGCTCGTCTCTGGAAACATTCTATGATGTTGTCAACATTCAAAGCCAAAAGTTGAACATTGCATATGCCATTTTCATTTTTAGCTACTGTTGCGAATGGATTTAGTCCATCAAACAGAAAAAATAATGATCTTTTATCTTTCAAAAGATCAGAGATAAATTTACCATCTGCTCGTTTTTCGGCTAGTCTGTTAAGCGAACTACCGGCAAAAAATGATGCCTCCTCCATTTTGGAACCTCTCATTGCAGTAACCTCTTAATCAAAGTAGCCCAAGTGAATCACATGCCTCATGTACGTGAATTTGCTTGACGTTTTCCAAAGTTGTCCAGCCAAAATTTTCCAAGCCAAAAAGTAATGACCAGAACGGCGAGGCGGGGCTCGATGGGGCAGGGTTTGGTAGGCGGGGCTTGGTGGGTGGGGCTTGGTAGGCGGGACTTGGTAGGCGGGACTTGGTGGGTAGGGCTTGGTGGGTGGGGCTTGGTGGGTGGGGCTTGGTAGGCGGGGCTTGGTGGATGGGGCTTGGTAGGCGGGGCTTGGTGGATGGGGCTTGGTAGGCGGGGCTTGGTAGGCGGGGCTTGGTGGGGTGGATGGGTTCAAATTTGCCCAAGGCCTCGAGGTGCAGTGTATGCAGAGGCTTCACAGAGTAATGAAATAGTAACGATAATAAATCACATGAAATAGTAACGACAACAGGTACATGCTCAAAACGTCGTGTTGTTAACATTCAAACTATTTTATTTCCATTCTGGTACTCAATTTATTTGCTAACAATATTATCGTTACTTTGAATGAAGTACCACACGCAACATACATATTTAATTGGATTTTAATGAAATAGTAAAACGTTTTGTTTGCATTGATGTTTCTGCACATGCAGGCTTCCTAAGGACCACGTAGCATATCACGGATTGTGGAGGCTATAAGTGCCAAAAGCCAAAAGAAAGGCGATTTTTTTGCATTGGAAGTTATTGGGGGAGGGGGGGCTCCCTAAGCCCCATCACGTCGTCCTCCGCTTCCATGGTCCTTGACAGCTATTAATAATAATTGAAGCTAAGTCTCCATTTCGGAGCAGTTTCCCAACTACTAGAATTTTTGAATTATTTGTAACTAAACAAGTCTTTTCCACCTTGGGTTTTTGAAAAAACCTGGGCAATCCAATAAGGGCTCAATATATTCCTCATGGGACCTACATCTTCTGCAAAGAGAATCAGAGTACTTTCCTTTGCAGTTAGCTCTTAGGTCAACCATGTTTAGTTTTAATTTCAGCATGGATGACGCGTCTTCACATCCCAGATTCTCTTTCATTTCAAACTTACTACCCTTGATGTATCTAAGTTTAGTCTCATTATTATTATTATTATTAATATTATTCTCTATGATTATGATCATTTTCTCTCTAACAATATTTTTCTACTGTTCTTTGGTTGAATTTTTGATCTGATTTTCTTTGTGGTTAATATCAATCATTTTCATGTCACTAATCACTTCTTTATACCAACAGTTTGAGAAAATTTAAACTTTTTTGCTCTCCATAAACTATCTTGGTCAATCTACTTTCGTTCATGTTCAATATCTTATGGAAGTATATTAATCATTTCTCTTTTATTCTAAATTTCACAAGCATCAGGCTACATTTAAGGACTATTCCATCCAGTGACGGATTTAGAGGGAGGGGGGGGTAATTAGGGACAGTTGCCCCTCCCTCGACGAGTTGAAGCTAGTCTGGTGCCTCTTTTTTGGAAATTATGCGACCCTTTTGAATTATGAGAATCAGATGAAAAAGTTTCTGAGACCGATAGGTTAATTTGCTTCAAGGATTACCTTCAAGTTATGTTCTTTATTCCAAAAATTGATCTGAAATGTTGTATACAGCGTACCCTCGTGATAAATTTTTGAACATTTTTCAGCGCCCCCACTACCAACTGCCCCTCCTTCAAATTTGTTCTGGATCCGTCCCCGACTCCATCAAATGGCACTGATTGGGGTAGAGAGTTAATTATTGTTACTACATAAGTCTTTAAATTGCTTATTAGTTACGATAGTCCGTGTTTCACATGCGTACAGAACTTCTGGCATCAAAATTGCTTCAATCAGTTTGATACTGATTGCAAAACTTTGTTTTTCGAGTGCCTCCTGCTTAATAAGGAATTTTATTTCATTAATAATCCCCAAAGCAGTGTTTAATCGTTTACTGATGCACCAATCTAAATTTGTTTGTTATTTTTCAAGCCCACTCCACTTCTTTAATAACTTGACCATTTGAAATTAAATTTTCTTTTTGGACTTTTTTGTTACAGTGCATGACTATTTCTTCACTTTTATCCAAGTTAAAATTCAGTAGGTTTTTCTTTTGAAATTCTTCAGCAATGGTAATCATTTCCTGCATTTTCTTATGAGATATGGAGGCAACTAATATAATCTCTTTTTAAGACTTTTTTTTATAAGAACAAGTAAATTTATGTTCAGACTGACTTTTCTTAATTTTTTCGAAAATCTGAGGCTGGATTGTTCTTAATTTGTTCTTAAATTAAGAGAGTGTAAGCAGTGTTATTGCTAGCTTTTTCGCTCTAAGGAAGTGTTCAGGCCTCATTTGCCAACCAAGTGAGTGAGACAGCTTAATTTGCTGACAAATTTGAATATTCACCAAAAAAGCACCCGCACATCGCTAAAAATCCTCGATTTTGAGAAAAAACGTTGTTCAAAATTGCATTTTGCAGAAGCTCAGCCTCAGCTTGTTCTTAATTTGTTCTTAACTTTTGACCAGTTTTGAGGCTCGTGTTCTTATAAAATTGTTCTTATGAAAAAGAGAGTGTATATCATCCTGATAAAGTAGTGGAGGTATCAAAATGTTCCCAAAGTTAATTCCTAGGTTTTCGCTTTTTACTATTTGCATACCTTTACCATTATGATTGGCACAGATGGGGGCTGCCAAGATAGTTCCTTGTTTAAAATTTTCTTTAATTCTAACCTGTCCTGAAATTCCACTAGGTGTGTGGATTTGAATGTATCCTTCATCGTTTAATTCGTAAACATTTTTAAGAATGTTTCCCTTTACGCCACTTCTATACATATCTATGATGAAATACAAGCATATCACAACAGCACTGTAGAAATTATAGAAAGTTTTGCATTATGTGGTAAAATATTTATGAAAAGGAGGTTATAATAAAATAGAATATAGACTAGAAATGAGACATGTTCTCTGTTACTCCGAGTTTCGTGCTTGCGCACTCATCAGACAGACTATAATGAAGAATATTCCTGTTACCGCGGTATAAATATACAAAAGGTGTGATAAAGTTAGACAAAAGAAATTTTATTTAATACAGGTTAATTAGTTAGGTGGAGTTCTATTGTTCATGAGATAAAACTTGTTTTCGTGTTGGCATTTGGAGATTAATTCGGATCGTTCGTTTAGAAGGGTGTTGTTATTTGCTTTGATGATGTATAGTTTTTCTGTTAAGCATAGGTCACACCTATGCTTGAAAAGGAGGTTATCTATTTTACCTACCGAGAGGGCCTTTCAGTGAGAAAATCTACTTTCCTCCACAGAGGCTATTGGGGAGGGAGAAATGGTGAAGCTACGGGAGGGAGAAATGGTGAAGCTGCGGAGAATTGGAGGGGGCGGAGGAGAAGAAGAAAGGAAAATTTCTTCTGCCGCTTTTTCCTTCCTCCTTCTCCCTCGCAGTTCCTCCACTTTTTCCTTTCTTCCGCAGTTCCTCCGAATCTCCCTCCCCAATAGCCTCTGTGGAGGAGAAAATCCAGGTATATAAAGTCACAGAAATGAAATTAAGATGTGAATTTTATAATTCCTATTCTGCCATAAAGTATGCCAAAAAGTTTGCTATTCCTCCTTGGTCTTAATCCCTCGACCCTCTGAGGCTCTTGTACCCAGGATGTACTAGGTTTCCATTAACCTCATTTTAGTTTTTAGTAAATTTTATTTTTCTTTCCTTTTTGAGGTTATGATGAACTAAACTAATGGATTCTGCAATCTTTGATTAAATTAGCTTGCTAGATTTTGCAGTGTTTTTGTTATAAACATTTTTGGAAGAAAACGAGTTTGTCAGTCGTGCGATTCTCTGTTATAAAATAACCATCACAAAAACAGGCAACTGCTGATAATTGAGACCCAAATATGCAAGCTGAGGCTGAGGACTATTATTACAATATTCCTAAAAACTGGATTATTCTGAACCTGAATATTTTTCTTACGAAAAAGAGTTTAATTGAATAATAAAATAATGTTAGGTGGATTAGGAAAATTTGTAATCATAGCCCCTGCGTGGCATCAGAGTTGATCACGTGGCTTCCCCTTGCCAGTTTGTGTGTATCACATGATAGAAGAAAATGGAGGGGCAGTTTCACAAGTGGTTCTTTATTCTGGCTTTGGGAATCAGCTTCCGTTTTACTGCTGCTGCAGAAACTAAACGAGATGTAAGGCGATATAATACTTATTTTACTGACCCATTTAATCTTAAAGTTTAATCGCAGGCGCAAGCTATTTAAGAATGTGCATCTCTTCTCCTCGAGAAGGTTTGGCAGCTGTGTTAAAACTTGCAGAATTGCCAACTCTTGATAAGGTCGAAACAAGGCCTGTCGATGTTTTCCGACCACCCAACCTTGTTAAAGTACCTGGCAAGGCCTAGAGTTGATAAATTACTTCATGGTGAGAGATATTGAGAACATGGTACTTAATAATATTTTTAGGTTGTTTGTCTTGTTTGTGTTTTAATGAAAAGCATTTAGTTTATGCCATTGAAAACTTCTGCTGAATGACGAAATCTTGAAACAGGCTTACATTCTTAATTTCCTTGATAAAAAATGCATTTTTGAAGCAGTGGCAGACACCTCAGTGGGTGAGGACACAAATATTTTGGAGAACAATGGTCTTCTGTTCTAAAACAATGGGGAAATTTGATGTCATCTTATCAAAACAATAAGATTGCCCCCCCAATATTTGACATAATGTTTGCCCCTGATTTGAAGATGTTTCCTCTTGAAAACACTATGTCTCCTCTGGTCATTATCAACAGTCATTCAACCGAATTGATTGCTTGTGCTTTCCTTAGTGACCACATTCCACCTTCTTCTTTCTTGTGCTTGGTGCAGACAATCCGTTAAAGAGGTGCTGGTCAGGTTGTTTATGTTGTCTGTCCAACACTACCTCATTCTACCTCTGCTTCGTGCACCTTTGACCTGTCCCAACATTACAGTCTTTTCTAATGAGGTATCGTCACAGCGTGCTATGTGCCAAAGTATCATAGCTGTGATCGTTGAATATCACATTGCCGACTTTTCGAACAGACCACTTGTTCCAAAATAGTGTCTTTCTTAAAATGCCAGATGAATAACATGAAGCTTCTTTTGCTGCAAACTTCTTCTCTAGAAGATGATTTTAAGGACTATGTTGAAGGGTCTTTCTCACGGTTTTGTGAACAAACCAAATACACGCTAGGACATTGTGCACGCTCAACCTAACATGAACATTGGGATAATGGGCAATGATGCTCCAGTGCTGCAATAGGCTTGATAAACTGTATTTTATGAGTGTATTTTCTAAACATTGAACAGACAATTTCTCTATTTCTACATTTGAACCGACTATCAGCGCAAATTGTGTAATGCAGTTGATCCAGGCCAAGGAAATGAAGCTGCGTCCAATTAACGGCAAAGATATTTTGTGTCTCTTTGTGAATTTAGGTGGCGCTAGACACTTAACAACAAAATAATTACTCCAAAGTTATTCTGGAAAATTGCAAAAATGTTTTCGCTTATAATTTACATTGGTAAGGTAGGTTTTTTTGGTGTCGATTTGGTCCATTTCTATTAACTGCTCCCTGTGAGTTGCTGTACCAAGGATGTAGAAGTGGCCTTTGTTTCTTTTGCATTGCCATCCTTTAGTCAAAGAAATATGGTGATAAGACTGAAGAAAAAGCTTTTTACAGCTAACCAACTTTCAGAATGCCAAAGCTTCACACAATCAATATGGATACAAAATACTGTTTAATTCTATATTGGCTTTCCTATTGAACGTTGGATGTTTTCCCCAAACAAGTTTCACTCAATTGGCCTGTTGACACGCGTGATGTCCTTGTGACATAGGCCTTTAAAGAACAGTGATTAGAACCTTTAAAGAACAGTAGAATGGGAAAAGTACCAAACTATTACAGAATTGATACTGACGGTACTATCTGAATGAATTAAAGTACCTAGGGCACAAAGAGGCAATTTTTTCATGTTTAAAATAGCTCATATTTGTTTTCTTGTAAGGTTGTTGTATCTGACTTGAATGTGGTCCTTTTATTGATGTGTCAGATTTTGTTCACTATGCAAAGTTTCAGCTTATCCGACTGCCCTAAAAGTAACCCCAAAAGCCCATTGCTTACTGAAGTCATATTTTGTGCCACGAAAAAACCTACAAGTTGATTCTCTTTTGTTTAATTTCCCTATTTTTATTTCATTTAGTTGCCTGGGGTTCTTGCCTTCAGGCCTTCTTGGGAAGAAATTAGCACAAGTGTGGCATTTTGCACCCCTAGACTGTTTTAGGCGTGTGATAGAGTGCTAGTGGTGTTTTGTTGTATTTTTACAGAGGTTTAATTACATAGTTTATGGAGCCTTAAAAACCCCCATTCTCAAGTCGTAACTCAGTTTCCACTTAACTTTAACAAGAAATATCTCTGGTGGAATAACGATAAAGGAAAGCTTACAAATATTGCCAGAGATCTTTACTTAATTTGATGCCGAAATTATTTTGGATCCAGATTTCGGCAATCTCCATGTGGCCGTCTTCATGAAACCCTTGAAAAATGTTTATATTTTGGCCCCAACTTTCAATCGTGTTTCATCAAAAGGGATATGAAAACAGTTTTGAGAATGGCACAATTTGAACGGTATGATTTGAAAATGGCATGATTCGAAAGTGGCACAAATTGAAAACAGCACGATTTGAAAATGGCACGTCTTGAAAATGGCACAAAATGTTTCAGTGCAAACGCTTGGAACAGAACAATTCTATTGCAGATTTTCCTCTCTTTTAATCCAGAGTGCCATCGCTCTGTTTCCAAGTGTAACCCTTGAAAATTTCATGCCTTTGTCACAACTGCAGTTTTCCAAATTTTCCCATTTTCATGTGAAAAGGATACAATATTTAATGATTTGTGGAAGAATGCAACATCCTCGCTGGACAAATATGCCATGTTGCATAAGCCCTTCTGGGGAGGGTTGTTAAGCGTTGTATTGCGATCTGCTTATTTTAACCCAGCTGGCGGTAGGAAATGGATACTGAAATCACTGGCGTGAAACCAGTAGCATACAGAAAGTGAGCTTTCCAGCATGGGCCTTCGGCAAAGGCTTTCACACATAAACTGTAGCTCCTTAAAATGATAGATGCCTGATGATCTGATATTTCACACACAACTTGCACCAAATTTTTGTCACATATTGCTTATTGTCATAGGCTTAAAAAGTATAACCTAAAATGTCATTGTTGCCCTATTTCAGGAATATGACAAGCTCCTTTTTAACCCGTGTACTTTTCTTGCTGAAGACACAAAATTTATGTGTGTAGATCAGAAGAAATACGGCACAAATCTTGTCTAAATTTACCATTCGAAAATAATATTTTAGAAACATGTCCATGCTAACACAGTTCTATGATAAAAAATGCGACTTAGTTTTTACAAGCACTGGGCTAGAAGATGATTGCAAATTGTCTTATAAGAATGGTTTTTGCAGCTATAGAGGTAAAAATGAGATTTACCACTACTAGCCCTGATGCTACGGTCATTTGGTCTTTGTTTGATTGCATTCAAGTGTCGTCACGACAGCCACAGAACAGCTCTTCAAAATGATTATGGTGACCCAGTACGGTAGACAAGACCGGTAAAACACATCAAAATAAAAAAAACAATTACGTATTTTCTTTGTCACCTTATTAGTTTCCAGCGCTTTGGTTAAAAAAAAAACGAATTATTACAAAAATATGTGTGCGATTAAACACACTCCTTGGTGTGGGGAGGCTTGTACCAGCATGTGCAAGTGCCATCGCATGTCTTTCCAAGGAAGGCCTGTCCTTCATCCCAATTTCCAAAACGTGATAAGTCTCCAGGCCAATTTTGGTTTCTACTTCTTTTTAAATAGCCATAGTCTTTAACTGCTGTTTGGACAGAATCATGGCCTGCCTTAATCTTAACCAGTTTGCCAGCTTGGAATATTCATTCATGATTTAAAGACTCATTGCTAACAATGAGCTATTGCGCCTCACAAGCATCCCATAATTCATTTTGAGACAGTCTGAAATCAATTTTGGTTGATCCGTAGAAGTTTACTGCCATTGTTTGGACCGTCACAACGTTTGCAAAGGCCCATTATTAGCAATGAGTCTTTAATGTTTCCTACAAAAGTTGAATCTTAGCCTTAAATTTACCAAACAATGCCAACTGAAAGTCTTAAACTGCATAGTTATCATTTCTAAATATAATATATTATATAATGTATAACCTTTGATCTAATGAAGCCCCGTATGCAGTGTTGCGACTTAAAATTTATTTGTGTTTTTTTTGTTTCTTTTTGGCACATTGTGGTGTTTCTATTTTCAACACAATATAATAGCTCTCCTCCAACTCAAACAATCTTAGATTGAATGTCAACGGAAATATTTACATAGATACATGAACATAGAATCTGCATAAATTTTGTTGCTCAATTAAGTACATTCCAGTTTTGAGAATAAGCAAATTAACATCCTATGCAGGTCCTCTTGGTAGAGAATCTTAAGTACTGGAATTACCTTTTAATATGGAGTTTGCTTAACTATTAATGTAATTTTGTCAGGTCTGCAGCCAGAAGGGGGCTAGCCCCCCTCCCAAGTTGGGGAACAGTACTATTGTTGGGTTAATATACTATGTTACAGTTTGTGGCTTTAGCTTCTCCCCCTCTCCTAGAATGTCCCAGAATGGCCAGGGCTTGAATCACCTTATTGTTAGAATTTTCAACAGGAATATGGTAAAATTTGAGAATTTGTCAGTGAAGTTAGTTCATGTTTTTTTGCAGGTAAAATTGGAAACATTTACATGTAAGGCAGGAGATGACACATATGAGATATTGCATGTGAGAGCAAAGTTGCAATCAAGCAATGATATCATACATTACCTGTGGACTACAATTGACCTTCCGACAGTGGTGACTGCCCACACCACAGATACCTCTGCGAAACCAGTTGTTGAATGGTCTAGTAATTGTACAAAGTACAATATTAAATTTAAACCAGAGATTTCTGGTCTGACAGCATTTGCATTGACAAGTGTGTTTGAATATGAAGATACAAATGATGATCAGGATGCTACCAAAAATTTTGTCAGAGATGTGATGCCTTCTTTAAAATGGCAGCTGAAAAGCAACAGCAGTAGTAGTGGGAGTGCTATTGCAAAATTTGAGGGCAGTTGGTTGTATGCACGCATTGGGTTTGAGGTATGTGTGTAATGGAAATGTTTATTGCTTTTCAGCTGCGCAACAGAGTTCAGCTTGACTTAATTTCTAAAGAAGCTAATATTTGACTGCATTTGTTGGGCTTTTGAAGTCCCCTTGATAAAAAGCTCCAGAAACATTTTTATTCACAAGGAAAACAAGTAAATATTGCAGGGGCACTAAAACATGTCTTGAACTGGCAGAGGGTGGAATGTGGCGCCAAATAGTAAAACTGACTGGGGACAAAAGAATTCCCCGGTTGTTGCACTTTTGTAAGGGGTTCCTAAGCCAGGAAATTTTTCACTGGGACAGTTTTCACCGGGCTTGCTACACGGAGACATTAAAGAAGCAATCCAGTTAAATTTAATGCAGTTGGTCCTTTCAGGGAGTTTCAGTGCCGCTTTGCCATGCAATCTTCACCGAAATTGCATTTTCAAGTGTCTAAGACATTGACTGGCAATTAATCAGTCATTTGCCAAACCTTGCCAAGCAGAAAATTCAGATTTTTGAGAGAAATTTCTTTAAATCCTTCTGGTAAAAAGTCTTCAACAGGCGGCTGTTTGCTGAAAGTATTTTCAGATAAGATTCCCATTTCTTAACTAACCTTTAAAAGCTATATTCAAAGGCAATTGACAGATATGAAAGTTGTTTTATGAGGTTGCTCACGTTCTTACGTTGTTCTCAGATTTTTGGCAAATTAAGTCTCAATGTTCTTATAACATGCTCTTATAAGGAAAAAGTGTTCATGTCTTTCCGACTAACATTGACAAGTTTATAGACAATAATTAAACAGGTTAAAGCAATATCTTATCTCACATATTCATTTTCTCTGAAAAGGCCACTTACAAGTGGACAACGTGCAGAATAGTTCTTTTAAGATTGAATTTGAGATCGTGAATATAACTGGAAAACCTAGCTTAATGCCGAACATACTTTTTTTTAAGAATGAATTTTATTGGAATATTGAGGCTCGAAATTGGTGAAATTCAATAATTGATTATAAAAAGAAGCCAGGCTCAAAATGCATCGATATTCGACGTTTTACCTACATACTGAACTTACTTTTTAAGAGTGATTTAAGAATGATTTCGGACTCAGAACCAAATATTTTAATAACTTAATGACTTGGCAAAGATTAAGGTATTCTTATTAAAAAGGTGTTTAGCGAGAGCTATACCATCCTGGGTCTGCAGAAGTGGACGTCTCTGTGTGGCAACACTAGAGTTTCCCGGTTAATGTGAACATCAGGCAACAGTTGTCACGAACCGTCCTGTTTACACTAATAATTCGCGGAAAATAATTTAGTGTTGGTCCCAATTAATTTCAGGGCTGCCGAGAGATTTAGGTGGCCTTGGGGCCAAACCGAAAGGCACGGCCCCTTGTGAGTGGAGCAAGAAGAGAATTGCTGCGACCATGCCCTTCAGATTAGCTTAAAATCTATTTCAGTTGTTCTTGCATCATCTTCTTGCAATGGTTTAAAATGTTTTTAATTTTTAAGTACACTTTCACTATATTTGATTAATTCCATGCCTAAAAAAGAATTCATTTCTTTATGAGGCCCCTTGACCTTGAGGCTTTGGGGCAATTTGTCCCCTTGCCCCCCTCTCGGCAGTCCTGATTCATTTTAACCGACTGTTTTTCATTTATTTATTTAGCTAAAGGCATTTGGTGCCAAGGATTATGATGATGATTTGCCGCATGAAATTGTCAGCGAGAATTCAACACGGTTTACTATAAGTTTACTTGATTTACCCGTCCAAACCAAAAAGTCCGATACGCTGTTGAGTTGGCCTTTTTGAAGCCCAAATCCAAAGAATCACCAACCTACAAAACGTCCAAATCAATCGACGACGAACACACGCCTGGTATTTTCAAGTTATGGAAGCTCAGTATCCCAGTTGATGGCAAAAAGATGTTCGCGTCTTGGAAACCAGTTGCATACAATAAACCATCAAGAAACCACGACACGCAGACGTTTTCTCACAACTTCCCTAAGAAAGGGGAAGGCAGTCTGGTATTGAATGCAACATGTCCAAAAACGATCATGAACTCGTTGCAAGACCCTTCTAGCTTGCAAGCATATACTGTGAAAGTATCTTTTGGCCAAAACAAAGATGAGTTTTACAAGAAAACGAATTTCAGCAGCTGGTGAGTTTCATGTTTTTTACATTTCTTTATATTTTGTTGTTTTCTATATATAGTTAAATGTTTAATATATTTAATGTTTAATGTAAGTCAAAGTTTAGACCTGTATATAGTTGGTTGCACTATTCAAGGTTATGAGAAACGCAGTTGAAGAATAAAGTTTTTTAGGCTTGAAAAAAAAGCACCGGAGTTTTTGAAAACATTTCAAAGTATCCTAATTTTAAGCAGCATATAATATTTGAACATTATATTTGAACAAAACTTTTCCTGGTCATTATAATTGAAACATTAAAACCTCAACACCATTGTGAATAATATTCTACATTTTTACAATGTTACTTTTGTTTGCTTTCACAATTATCATGTATCACAGGCAGTGGCGGACACTTGGTCAAATATTGGGGGGGGCAAGCCTATTGTTTTAATAAGATGGCGTCACATTTCCTATTGTTTTAGAACAAAAGACCATTGTTCTCTAAAGTATTGGGGGGCGGGCGGTCTCTAAAGTATTAGGCTTTCTCGCCTAATACCCAACACTTCATGTGATCAGCTTCATCATGGATGTGTAAGCCAATCACTCGGGGGAGGGGGGGGGGTACCTTAACATGTTTGAAGGTACGGGGACGTGCCATTATTTAGGGGTACCGGTCTGAAAAGTGCGGAATTATCGGTACTAATTTTTGAAATTTGTGCGGAACTATGGGTACAATTTGAAGAAACGTGCAGAATTATGGGTACCATTTTGTGGGAATATTGCAAAATTATTAGGAGGAAGATTTAGCATTACCAAAATGAATGTCCAGTTAGAAATAAATAGGACATTTGCTCGGCAGAATAATGGGTATAGTTTTCATCATGTTTGCGGAATTATGGGTCACATTTTCTCAGACATTTGCGGAATTATGGGTCCAAAATTTTAACCAAAATGGCACATCCCCATCCAAAATTAGGCATAGTTTACCCCCCCCCCCGAGGCCAATCATATGCGTTTATCGAAAATTTCGAAAAGCATTGGACAGCAAAATGCCAGCAGTTTTTGATCGGCGTGTTCGTTGCTAATTTTATATTAACTCAATCCCTATCCTCAGTATCGTAGCAAGGGTGATAACATTGGGGGAGGGAGGCAAGATGAGCAAAGAGAACATGGGGCTCAACACCCTTTTTCAACGCCAAAAAGCACCCTTTCTCAAAGAGATTTTCTTCCATATGTGGGGGGGGGGCATCCATCCCCTCTTGCCTCACCCTCGCTGCCTGCCCACCCTATTCTTGGCTTTTTTTTATTATATGACTAAACTATTGCCAGCTGAAGCGAGTGGAGAGGACTTAGGGACTTACCACCCCCCCCACAATAATTTCCAAAATGTACTTAAAGCCATGCAAAGAGTCACCTTGCTCTTCGTTCAAGCATGTTTAGCCCAACACACCCCCCCTCCCCTTCCACCCGAGTTAAAAAACTTTTTTAGCTCTCTAAATCTGTAATATGCACCGTGGTTCTTAAAAGCACTATGCCCCGTAAGTCAACCGTTCACAGTTAACAATAGACTTTACAGCGCGTTAACAATAGGTCTATTGTGTGGCCGAACCAATGGCCGAAGCCTTTGATAGCCAGTCATACACCAATTCGACTTACGGGCTCATTTTGAAAAATTCTTCAAATTCTTTTGTACAAAATTTTTGACCTCAGATTCAGTTTGACAGCAATGATTTTAGTCTACTTGTATGTTCTCATTATGAAATTGCTCACGATATTGATTTTATGACGACGTAAAGATAAAAACTTTATAAGGGATTTGACCGTGATTGGCAACTAGGGGGGTAAAGTTTCCCCCGGAACGATTTTTGCGGTCAAGTCCCTTACAAGTTTTCAAACTTCATTTCTCGGTAAAATCTAAAATACAAGCTCAAACAATATGAAAAATGGTATCCCGCACAAAATTATGACGATAAAACCAAATCTGAGCTTACAAAAGTCGTATAATCAAGTTTGGAGAAATTTCCAAAACGAGGTCGTAAGTCGAATTTGTGTATTCTATGGAATGTTTTTTCGCAGGACTGGACTGGTTGGTTATGGAGACGCACCAGAGCCGCAGATTTCAACGAAAGTCTATATAATTTTGAGCGTTGGACTTGGCCTACCCATTGCATTATCATTGTTTGGATCTTTGATATTGGTAATAAAGAGAGCAAAATTTGGAAAGCGAGCCTCGTATGAGCAAATAAATTAACAAGAGGCTAAACCATCATGGATGTCAAATATGGAAATATCTCGGCCAGGAAATACTGAGTTGCAATTAAAAAGTTTTAAGGTTTCTTGGGAGAAAAGAAATGTCGCTTCAGTGAATAATTTTTTAAATGCGTTGCAGTAAAGCTTTAAAAGTAGAATTTTAGTCGGGAGCAAAAGCATTTGTCTACGGGAAATTACTTGCCATAAAGCCGTTTCAGTTTTTACATTTGAACCCAAAGCTCACACACTACTTTCTTTAAGAACCAGATAATTTTCGCCAAAGCTCAATGTTCATATTTTTTTGGATAATTTGAGACTCGAGCGGTGTTAATATTGTTTTTCTTATTATAATATTGATTCTCAAATTCACCTACTATTAATAACAGTTTTGTATGACGGTGTTGTTCTAATTTGTTTTTTTTGTTTATTAAATCGAGCCTTGGTGTTTTTAAAAAGTTTCATCTTATAACAAAATTGAGCGTTCTGTTTGCCACAATGGCATTGGATTGCCTAAATTTAAATATTTTTCTATTTGGAAATCGGTTGATCTTCAAGAATTTTGTATTGTTTAACTGTGACTTTTGCCATCTTAGCTGACTTTTGCTGTTTGTAAAAATATTTCTACCTGTTTTGAAATTGTAAATTGATTGCTATGATAATTAGAATGCACCAAACACCTAGGTGATTAAAAAATTTATCGCTGCAAACTTTAAAGCTTATAAATGCAATGCCAAGTTTAGTTAGCTGAAAGCCTTTCATAAATGTAACAGTGGCTCTAATTGAAAATTATGATTATTTTAATTTAATCATATCTGTTTATGTGTACCTTAATCTTCGAATAAGCTCAAAGGGGTTATTTTTGAGCGTGACTTTCTGAAAGGGGGCTAATTCGAGGGAGCACCTATTGAAGGGGGCTTGTTAAATTGTGTAGTAGATTTAGGAAACTGTCAAGATTGTTGGGCAGAAAAATTCCAGTACCACTTTTCAAACTTTATTTGCAATTTTAAAATTTAGTGTTTTCTTTATCAATTTTATCATTGACATAATAATATGCATTCCAAGGGTGGGAGACTTATTCGAAGATGGGGGGCTTAATCGTCGACTTACCGTAGGTGATATTCAAAGTGACAAATCTTTGCTCATAAAATCACGACTTGCGAAACTTGAGTTGAACATAAATTATTTTAGGCCTAATCATTGTTTCATTAATTTGCTGATGTTTATTTTCACGAGTTGTACTATTGTAGATTTTTTGCATTCAAAGACCTTTTACATATAGTAGAATGAATTTTGTTGGTGTATATTTTATTTTATTGATGATTTCCATTTGAAGTCCTGGGGAATGGCAGGATGTTTGATGTTTAAAACAGACTTTTATTTGTTACGTGTTTCGTCTCTCTCTCTCTCTCTCTCTCTCTCTCTCTCTCTCTCTCTCTCTCTCTCTCTCTCTCTCTCTCTCTTTCTCTCTCTCTCTCTCTCTCTCTTTCTCTTTCTCTCTCTCTTTCTCCTCTCTCTCTCTCTCTCTCTCTCTCTCTCTCTCAAGCTTAAATATTTCCTGGAGGACAGATTTGTAATGGTATCAATACGACAAAGGGAACTCGTAGCCTTATGTTAAAAACAATAGCATCATGAAGAATAGAGTTCTCAACTATTTTTAGAATTTTTGAATTCTTGTAAAAATCTTTTAAAAATTTAACTATTGTACCTAAAAAGGGTGTTTCCCTTGTTCTCCGGGAAACTGAAGGGCGTAGCAACAGGATAATTTCTGAAGAGGGTCCAGTTTTGTGAATCACCCCTGGGCCCGAGCTGCCTCTCGACGGCCCTGATCTTTGGCATTGAGTGCCCCATTTCATGCATTTTAATCACGGTTGCCCTGTCACTAGAAGGAGCACCAATTTTGAAACAATGATTTTTATATAGATTCTCTTTACTGCCGTCGTATTTCTTCGGTCCAGGGTATATGGAAACAATGTGTGAAGGAGCAGGTTCTGTGTGGTGGGAATTCTTTTGGACACACTAGGATTTTGACTTGACCATTGTTTTCATGAAATAAGTATTAATCTATTTTATTATTCTCTGGGTACAAGACTCACTAGACTGGTACCCAGGGTAATAGCTTCGTGATTAAACACTTTTATTATAAGAAATTGAAGTTCAGGCTGTCTGTTCTTAATTTTTCCGAAAATCTGAGGCTTGATTGTCCTAATTTGTTCTTAAACTGTTAGAGTGTAAGCAGTGCAATTGCTAACTTTTGTACTCGAAGATTGTATTCAGGCCTCGTTTGCCAATAAAGTGAGTAAGACATCCTTTATTTGACGACAAGTTTGAAAATTCACCGAAGAAGTACCCCTAGATGGCAAAAGTTTTGAAATGAAACATTGTTGAAATTTAAACTTTATAGTAGCCACAGATTAGGAACAGTTTGCTCCTAATTTCTTCTTAACTTTAACCAATGTCGAGGCTCGTGTTTTTATAAAGCTATTCTTATAAAAAGGTGTAACAATTCTTTCTCAATCTAGTGATGTTATCTGTGTGGTCTTCGATTCCTTGTTTAACACTTATTT